CAGTTGAGCGACCACAGTGCCATTCACCTCTCTGTAACAGAATAACAGATAAAGTTTAATAGTCTCACCACTCAACATTTGAACCCTCTGGAATTTTTCTAGGTAATAGATCTGAAAAGCCTATGTAGGATTTTCAACTTTAAACGTTTCTCATTAGTTTTTCTCTGCTCCCATTCATGCCGTACTGGCTTTCTTTAGTAGTATTATATATAGTACTGTGGAAAAGGTTAAAAAATAATCACTTTGCATTTTGGAGCACTGGATAGAAGCTCAGATAAAATGTTCCTATGGCTTCATAGATTTCTGCGTAACATACCTGACCATAGCTGAGCCTAAACTTTCAAACCAGAAAGCCAAACTGAGACTGAAGTAATGAAAGCTAACCTTTAAAGCAATAGTTTAACGTCGAAATACTGTAAATTAGCCGAGAATCAAAAACTATAGCTCACAGCTCACGTTATGCACTGAGAAGGAAATAACACACCCTGCCAAAGTTCACTTTTCCTGACGCACAATGAATCTTAGCCTTTCACTAAAACTCTGACCTTTGTGTTTTTTAATTACAGTCACTTAAACCTGTGAATAAATGCATCACCAGTTGCTCATGCGTTCTCATAAAGTTGCCTGCCACTTCTTATCCCACCTTCACTTCTTCAGAATCCCTTAAGTGCTAGGTACTCAGCTCTGTGTTGAAGACTCTGGAATGTAAAGGGGAAGCAGGTTTTACTTTTATGACTGCAACACTATTTATATTTTTTTAATTTTACTCTTGTTAATATTTGTTAGTCTATTTTTAGTCTATTTTTTAAGACAAGCGTCTGCCTACCATGGAAGCTCTAAATGGAACCATTGATCCAGCTTGTCTGAAGGGTCGTCCGCTGGCTATTGACATGCTCAACCGTAAGTTATACACACTACTATATTCATTTAGATTTTAACCTGAAGAAAGTCTGATTCATGCTGTTTCTATGTGTCTCCTATTGTTTTTTTTTAATCAGAGCTAGATACATTTGGCTATTGCCTGTACTTCATGCTCACCTTGATGTCCTGTGTCTCCCTGCTTGTGTACCTGGAACAGTGTGCCTATATTTACAAAAAACTACCCTACCCCAAGAAGACCTTGGTCATTTGGGTAAACGGTGCAGCACCAGTGAGTATTCAGGCCTGCTTAAGTTTTATAACATGCCACTGATTGTAAAACAAATATGATTGCAAGTTGTTGAAACTTGTTAATGGAGAAAGTAAGCCACAGTACATTAACAGACATCTTCAAACGTTATAAGCGTTGCAGCTGCATGTTTTTAAACACAACAATTTTACCTTTTCAGGTCATTTCCACCATGTCATGCTTAGCTATGTGGATCCCGAGGGCATTTATGATTACAGACCTGACATCTAACAGGTGAGTTTTCCTTTAACTACACTTGCACACTTGCAAAACATTTCCCAGTGTAGTCAGTGTTTTTTTTGTTTTGTTTTTTTTTGTTACAGTTTAACAGTTTAATGAATTATTACACACGACGGATCAAAACTCACACTTTGCACAAAATAACAGAGAAAAAGAAAACGCCATTGAGCCATTTGATCCACTCTGAAATGGCACCAAAAGATTGAACATATAAAACACTTTTTTCAAACATTAGTTCAACAAAAGTATCTGCTGATCTAATGTGATCCTTGGGAAAAGTAAGTAAACTCTTTACTGGAAACTTTTTGATAGTGTTTGGCATAATTAGTCTCCATCAGACTTTTTCTTCCATGGAAGTTAGATTGAAATCTGAGCTGCGACTTGGCTTTCCCACTTGCTTTCTTTTGGGGTTTTTAATCTGTTCCCTGGTCGATGTATTAGTGTGCAAAGATTTTTATCCTGTTGAAAGACCAGCTTTTAGTTTAAATTTCAGATTGCCTCACATTAGCTTGAAAGAATCTTTGATATAATGCAGAATTTATAAATGCATTAAAAACAGCCAGCTGTCCTGTCCCTGAGGCAACAGGACAAATCCAGACCAGATGAACATGCAGCACCATACGTCACATTTCTGATGTGAGCCTGCTCTTGAGAAACAGCCATTAGCCTAATCCTTTTTTGTTTGTTTGTTTTACTGTGGCTGAGTTATTACTTATTTCAAAAGGGCTTGGTGGTTGCATTTATGCTAATTGAAAAAACGTAGCTAATGTTTGTTTGGGACATTAAAAGCTTGGCCTCCCATGCAGGTCAGATTTCTTCAATTTCTGAATTTGGATGCATGGAACTTTTGGATACTTCGCATTAACCTGGCATCAACATATATATCTATATCTATATTTACCATCATGCAAGTTGTTTCTAATGCTTACTTTGGTGAGGCATTCTGTACAAAAACAGTCAGCAGATGCCAACATCTGAACAGGGACTCAAACCACCAACTTGCAGCTTATAAGCTGGTGGCTCTAACAGCTGGTCTTTGTCTCAGTCAAGTTGTCCACTGTGAATTTTTAGCTGCCTGCACAAACATAGCAGGTTAGATCAGGCACACATTTCACACTACTATAAATACATTTTTGAATTTTTCTACCTGTGATGGTTACGTTCATTTGATATTTTATGAGATTTGCATAATTAACAATACATAACAGCACATCTTAGACGTGTGTTGAGTTACCTCTTTCCTTACAGTTATTTTGCAGTTGTGATTTACAAGATCTTGCTTCTGTTGATTGAGGAGTTGGGTGGCAGCAATGCCTTTTTGGAGAAGTTCTCTGGTAAACCCTTTTGGATCAGCACAGGACCCTGCTGCTGCTGTTGTCCATGTTTACCCGACGTCCCCATGTCAAGGTAAAGAGTCAATAAAGAGAGTCTGCATATCACTGCGCTGGCTCTAGCTCAAGCCTGTGTCAGATTTCCATGTCATATATTCTGTCATTCTGCATTGACTGCACATTACCTTATCATGGTACACATGTGTAATGTTAGTCTGTCTCTGGACTGGGTTTATTCAGGCGAATGTTATTCCTGCTGAAGTTAGGCTCTCTTCAGTATGCAATCCTGAAAACGGTGTTCACTGTCCTGTCTATAGTACTGTGGACCAATGGCAACTATGATCCTACTAATGTAAGTATTTGAAATGGTTCTCTACATATCTGAGTGGACTAAAATAGATGTGCGTTAAATTAAAACATATTTCTATAAGATTCATATAAATGTGTGTGTGTTTCTTTTTTTTCAGCTAGGAATCTATGGTATAACCCTTTGGATTAGCCTATTTGTTGGTGTTCTAACCATCATCTCCCTTTGGCCTGTTGCCATTGTCTTCATGAACATGAACCGCTATCTACGCCCACTCAGGATTATACCAAAGTATGCAATGTACCAAGTGAGTCAACAGCTGTAATACCAGATGCTAAGGTGCTTCACATGTGTTGGGGGTAACTCCTGAAGCTGACTTAACACAGCTAATTTTCTTGTGATGAGTTAATCCGCTCAATTTGTGAAGAGAAATCAAAAGGTAATTTCCTCTATCAGAGAACAGGGATACCATGCCAGCATGGATGCTTTTGACATTGTGAAAACTCAGATGGGCTGAAAATGTGAAAACATAGAAAACCCATAAGTGACCAACGAATTTGACTGAACTCCAGAGACCAGCACTACAAAGCGGGAGTTTGTCTTATTTGGATAACTTCAGAGTTAATCCTCGATTTTCCGTACTCCAAAGGTGGTTCACTTCTTACCTGTGTATATCACCTCAACCTTGTGAACCTAAAAGGCTTCAGAGCAGCTTAGGTCCTAGATTAGCTATCAACAGGTATGAAATCACTGCCTGATGACCAATCCAAAATCTGGCTCTCTCCCATGTGTGTCATTGGATCTATCGCCCTCTGCTTTCCTCTCTTTCCCTTACCCCCAAACAGTCGTGGCAGACGGCTGCCTCTCCCTGACTTTGGTTCAGACGTTTCTCCCTGTAAAACTGAACTGAACTTAGTATTTTGCAAATGCCAAAGCCAATAATGCAATACCAACAGCCATGACCTAAATCGTATATTTAAAGAAAATGACTGGAACATGCACCAAGATTTAATGGAGTAATCCTTTGCCTGTGCTTCACCAGCCTGTCCACCAACTTTCAGTGAAAATCAGCCTAGTAGACATGCTACACAATCAGCATGACCACTGTGTAAATGTTACATTGTTTTTATCCTTAGTTAACACTTGTATTGAGCCAGCTGCAGACATCGATCGTTAACATCGTGGCCTTGTACGGAAACATCGCCTGTGCTCCTCCATTAAGCTCTCAAGCCCGTGGAACCAGTAAGAAACATTTCTAAACGCCTTTCAGATATGCACAACTGATGTGAAATGAAACTACCCAACACTGATTTATTGTTGTTTTTGTGTGTGTGTGTGTCCCGCAGTGCTTAATCAGCAGATACTGATCATGGAGATGTTCATCATCACCCTGGTCAATCGGTTTTTGTACCGCCGCACATATGAGGCAGTTGAGACACATGACAGTGAAGAGAACACCACAGCGCTGCCAGAGGCTACTCTCATGGAGCATGATGTCTAAAAAAGGACAGTGAATCACTGTGTATCACTGCTCTTTAACTATGTAAATGATTATGTAAGTTAAGAGATCATAAAGTAGTCTAACATTTTACCTCATTTAAGGAAAGGAGAGAGAAATGCCTCCGTTTTACTGGATTCATAAGCACTCTTTGCATTGCTTTCAGCCCTGTCTTTGACATATATCCATGGAAAAAGTACAATCTCTTTCTGAGTTCTGATGTTTATGCATGATAATAGATAGATAGATTCTGGGTACTGAAAGTTTTAAGTTATGCCGACAGAAATACCAACAAGGAAAATCTCTTAATTTGACTGACTTACATTAGTTATAGTAGAATTGTTGTTTCTTGCAGATGATTAGATGTAAACAGTGCTGTGCAGGACATTTTCTTGGCCATTAGATGCGCCTCATATCGCATTTATGATAAAGAAATGCCAGTAGTATCAATCTTCTCTTGTCATCAGTCTCTGCAAACATGTATGCAGTGTATCTTTGTATGCAGTTTCTTTTTTAAAGAAGTTTTACCATTTTTTTTAGACAATACTGGAGCTTTTTGTCACACTGGGGCAAATGCACAGGGTGGGAGTTTTACATTGGCCTCGAGAGAAGTGAATAAAAACAACTTTTTCATTTTGTTAACTAATGTTTGCGTGTGTTTGATGTGTACAGTGACATATGTTTTTGTTTATTTTCCCCCTTTAGCTTAACAAAGGAGATAAATGCTGAAGCATTACTCAGTTCATTTCTGCATTTCTGTCTGCGTAGACCTAAACTGAGGACTTAAGGCAGAAAATAGAGACTTTAATGAAACTGTCTTTGAAAAGAGGTACTTGTGAGCAAAACAGATGTCACACCATCTCTATTTAAGTGACATTTTCACGACGATGACAATTTTTCAAACACTGCATTTAAGATACTTCCCTTTGAGTGAGTGAGCCTGAGTGAATATATCTTTAAGCATCCCACTGAATCTTAACACAGCTCAGAATAGCCAGATTTTTTCAAAGAAGGCTGACCCACTTACACAGACTTATCCGGGCCAGAGAATGCATGTGGATGAGACAGCAGCTTTATTTTCAGACTTGCTGCTGTACATTCTACTGCTGTTTCTCGAGCAGCCACAAGGAGCCGCCTTAGTTCTGCCCGCCCAAACTAAATTCATTAACCCAGTGATAATTAAAACATAACAAGTTCCCCCTCATAAATATACATCATTTGCAAATTAGAAAAGGCATGCAGGTCTATATAACTCAGGGCCATCACACAGATTTAAATGTTGAATTAGCAGTTGCTTCACAGAGTTTAATGCCCCCCTTTTTCTCGCTATCTCAAAAATCTGGTGGTGACTCTGTCAAGACGCTCAAAAGGTCATACCAACAAGCCCGAGTTTTCAGTGGGATTTTAAAAAACTTAAAAAATTAGCCACCACTAAAAAATATGAATAAAATAAAAAAGGATTACAGTTGGTTCAATGTTTTCTAAAAGGTGTTACAAATATGCTTTTTGAACACATATCCAACACATTAGATGAAAAGAAAAAGAAAGGCAAATAATATGCTAATTATATTCTGAGATTATTGCTCTTTATTATTATTAATAGACGTCAATTTCTATTCATAAATCACAGCTTCATGACACATTTAACAGACTGGTGTGAGTTGCGGTGATGCAGATGATTGAAATGAGGCCAGTTTATTTAGAATTAAGGCAAATCCACAGCACAAACCAATTATTAGGCTGCATGTAGAGGTAGCGCTGCCCTAATCTGGATGAGACGTTTTATATAAAGCCAGATCATTGAGAATTGAAAATGTGGCCCTATTAATGGAGCATTTGTCTTTGCTGTTTATATAAACAGAGTCATCAGACAGGAAGAGAGGAAGAGAAAGCTATGTTCAGGGTGGGATGATGACAGCCCCTGGCTCTGCATTGCTGACGAAAGCTGCTTAGCCCCTCAGTTGCTATGGCAACCAGGGAGGGCAGCCAGACAAAAATGAGCCAAAGGGGAGGGGCTTTTGAGGGAGAAATAGAGGAGAAAGGGCTGGATGGGAAAGACAGACGGAGGGAGGGATACGGACAAGTGATAAAGAAACACTGAGAGCAGAGGAGGTAGCGCAAGGCTACACACGGAGAAAAAGGTCTGGATATAAATGCTCCATCACTGGCTGGGGAATAAAATCTGCAGCAGCTGACAGGAGGATACAAAAACAAAAAGGGGGACGCAGAGAGAAGATGGACGTACAAACGGAGAACATGGACCCCCCACCTTGTGAATCGCAGCCAAGTGGAAAAATCAGAAAAGGATTCAAGCTGTTTGGCAAACGCAAGCCAGGTAACATCTTTTCTATTCGAAGCAAAGGAGATGGAAACAACAAGTCACCTGTTCACAGGAGCAAAACACTAGATGGATTATCAGAGAGTCCTGCGCCAGATTCTGAGCAGGAGCTGGACAAGGAAAAGGGACAGGAGGTGAGCGAGGCAGAGAAGGAGCAGGCAGAGGAGGAGCAACTCGGCGAAGATGGCGTTCTGGCTGCCGCCCCTGCTCGCAACTCCGTTTCTTCAGCCAGCTCAGCCAAGTCTCTCAGCTTCCTGTCACTGCTGAGGGGTGGCAGGAGGGGAGTGGGGGACCGCCGAGTCCACACCGTGTCCCAGCCAGTGGGTCGCCAGCGTCGTGGGCTGAAGGGTCTCTTTGGAAATGTTAAGTTCAAATCGAAAGATAAAGAGGAGAAGGAGGAACTCCCTCCTAGTCCGCTCCTCATGTCATCCCGTGCCAACAGTGTTGAAATCATCAAAGAGGACCTCACCCTCACACCCAAATCCCAGCCTCGCTCTCTGGACAGCCCTGAAACAGAGAGGCGTGAGCACGTCAAGAGTGCAACAACTCTGGACAGTGCAACCCCATCCCCACCAGAGACCGCAACTTCCCAGGTAACAACAAGCAGTGTGAGTAAAACTCATGAAAATGTAGCGCCGTCGCCCACCCTTGAGCCACCACTGGTGCCCGGGGACACCAGCCTGAGCTCGTTGCTTGCGGACATCTCGTCTCTCCTGACTTTTGACTCCATCACAGGGGGTGGGGACATCATGGCCGATGTGGAAGCAGAGTGGGGGAAAGCGAGCAGTGCTATCAGCGCTGTGGTGACTGAGGTCACGCCAACATCCACATCTCCCTTCTCCAAACCCACTATCTCCTCTCCGCTGAGTCCCACAAAAGTCAGCACTGCTTCCACAGCAAAACCTTCTCATGTAGCCGTCCCCACTGCCACTTCACTCCAACCCTTTACTGCACTGTCGAAGGCAACTACAACCTCTTCTCCCATTTCCAAGCCAAGCACCACCCCCACCACAACTTTCACCAAATCTTCCACTCTGACAACTCCCTCAGTCAAACTGAGCTCAGACTCTACTCCAGCCTCTGAGCCTTCTGTCAGCGCTAAAACCATCACAGCTCTGGCGCCAACTACAACAAAACCCTCAGCGTTTCCTGTAACTTCAACAAACCTTTCAGCTCCAACGTCTTCCTTTGTGATTACAAGTAAATCTACAGTGATGTCCATCTCTACAGCAACCACAGCTCCTCCAAACACCCCAGCCTCTGTAGTAAAGGCTCCCTCAGTTAGTCCAGTTCTTACCTCTACAGCTAGCAAACTGGCTTCACAGACTGTACTGCCTCCTCAAACTACTACTTCTGTAAGTAAACCCAGTCTTGTAGCTACTTCACCCCCCGTCTCCACCAAACCCTCATCAATAACCCACAGCCCACCCATCCCTGTTGCTATCTCCCAGCCTCCCCCTGCTAAGTCAAATTCAATTAGCACTTCCTGCAAACCTTCTCTAATCTCAGTTACAGTAGACTCTAAAACCCCAGTGACAGTATCACCAGCCTGCACAGTTACAACAAAACCATCTTCTCCTGACCCGGGTACTCTCTCTAAAACAGCAGCTCCCACATCAGCTGCAACCTCAGCCTCTGCATCTGGGGCCCTTTTCAAGCCTACACTCACCTCCACCCTCACAGAACAAAATAAAAGCCCTCCCTCACATGTAACTGCTCCTGATATCTGTCCTCCCACAGCTAAAACCCAACCCAGCCCTGCATCTATAACAACTCCAGCTTCAGTTTCTTCAGCTAAGCTTCCTCCTGCGACTAAACCCACCTCTGCCTCGGTCTTGTTAGATAAAACGCCCCCTACTCTCACACCAATTCCAGCACTTGCTACTCATGCAGCAGTTTCTACAGCATCTACTGCTCTGGGTCATATTCCAGTTTCTTTATCTAAAGATCAACCTGCTCCTGCTCAACCGCAAATTTCCCAATCTAAAACCCCTCCTGCCCCTGTTCAAGTCCCAGTTTCTATCTATAAAGATCAGCCAGCTCCAGCTCAAAAGGAGCCTGCTCAATCTAAAGCCCCTCCCGCCCCTGTTGAGGTTCCACTTTCTGTCTGTAAAGATCAGCCTGCTCCAGCTCAGATGGAGGCTCCTCAATCTAAAACCCCTCCTGCCCCAGCTCAGCCCCCAGTTACTGTATATAAAGATCTGGCCGCTCCAGCTCAAAAAGTCCCTCAATCCAAACCCCCTCCCACCTCTGTTCAAATCCCAGCATCTGCAAGTAAAGATCCATCTGCTCCAGCCCAACAGGAGGTTTTTCAATCAAAACCCCCACCTGCCCTGGCTAAAATCCCAGTTTCTGTATCTACTGACTCTCCTGCCCCAATTTCTGTAGCCAAACCACTTTCTACTTCTGGTCAGATTCCAGTTTCTCAGCCAAAAGCCCACCCTGTACCTCCTGGTGCTCCTTGCCCTGTCACTTCTCTTCCTCCTACCCCTAAAACTCAGCCAAGTGAAGCTCCAGCCTCTGCTAAGTCTAGTGGAAGTGGACTAGCAACAGTGGATAGCCAATTGGCTAGTCCAAATGGCACAAATGGGGAGGGTGTGAAGACTGCACCGTGTAAAACCGAAGAACCACATAAGGAGTCGCGAACAAGCCTCCAAGAGCCCCCCAGAGAAAAGAGAACACAAGCCAAAGCATCAGGGCTGAGCAAAATCCCTGTCGTGGGAGGAAGCAGAGTGGGCAGGCTACCTGTCCGGGACAGCCAGCAACATGCTGATGAGGAATCAAACAGAAATCCGCCCACACCCGTGCTAGAAGAAGAAAGACCCCATTTTAACTCACATGATGCAGGAAACAAAGATAAAATCAGTGCTGCAGAAGCCACCTCAAAACACACCCAGGAGGACAGTCAGCACCCCCAACACCAGAAAGTTCTCACCAGTTCAGCGCGTGATTCAAAGATCCCCGTGAAGCACGGTGCACAGACTCACACTGCTTCCCAAGTCCCTCAGACTAAAGAACCCCCTCGCACTAAGATACCCGTGTCCAAGGTTCCTGTCCGCAGAGCTGGTACTAAACCTGCAGCCACAGGTGGCAGCGCCCAGATAAGGAAATAAGACAGTGGATTGAATCAGTCGACTGCAGATTACTGCTCTGACTGCAACTTTTTTCCAACATCACGATTTTTTAAACTTTGCATTCTATACTGTAAATCCTGGCTGGTCTTTCTGTCATCTCTTGGCTTCACTACTTCATAAGCAACAAGAACAGAGTCAAGGAAACTGACAGCACTCAAGCACAAAACATCCCCGTGGGCAGCTGAAGCCACCCTAGACATGCACTCAGGAAAGGTTCGGGGTAACACCTGAACACAAAGCAGCATCGGTAACAAAGGATGAGCGAGATAAAAGGTCATAGGAACACAGTCTGTCTCTCTCTCTCACACACACACACACACCCTTTCACACAACATGGGCGAGTGCCTTTTTGAGGGTGCTTTTCCTACAGACTGTCAGAATTTTTTCAGTCTTTTCTACAGTACTTTTAACTTTTGTTACTCCCACTTTTTGTAGGAACCTTCAAGTCTTTTTTGTCTTTCTTTTCAGCAAGTCTCTTTGATAATAACCAATCCCTTTACCTTTTATTTATGCCAGGAGATGAACCGCAGGAGCTCTATAGATAAATGCAACAACCAAATTTTACATTCCACACCTTTCTCTGGATGTATGTAGCAGAAAAAAAACATGCCATGAAGTTTTTGCACAATATGTTGAACTGTACAGCGCCAGTGTGTCCACCTGCTCATATGTAACATACTCAGATCTCACTGTGAACTATGGGAGGGGCTGTGGTTTGAAAGAGTGGAAATTACTCCTCGCAATGAAATTGACAGTGGAGAGCAGCCATTAAAAATGGCATTGTGGACAGAAAGGATGGTGGGATGAGATCTCCAGCTCATGAACTGGCACATCTTTATTCCTGTCCCAGTTATACTCGGATGAGAACAGCATCTCTGTGTAGAGACTCATCTATGTTGTCCTGTTTCCTATTTAATCAATAAAACAATATGAGTACCTAACATGTGGGATCTGTTTAAGTTGTGAACTGCACACCGTTTTTCATACTGTTGTAGTTTTAACACGGGGAGATACGAACACATGCCTGCAAATAACTCGGATTATATGGAAGGAACGTGTAAATCTGAAATATAAGTAAAGGCTAAGAATCAGAGCAAAGAGAAGGAGTAATATTATATATTTTCCCTGACTGATCTTCACCATCTTACTGCAGCCAAGTCTCAGCTTGTCCTCACAGACACATCATTCCAGCGTCATCCACACTCCAAGCTCACTGACCTGAATAGTGAGCACATGAATGCCAGCTGAGCCAGGCCAATCAGCTGCAAGGGAAAACGCTTAACATGCATAGCCTACCTTATTATCAAAGGGAAAAGGGTCTGGGAATGTGTGTCATTGCTATTCTTAGTGTAAAAACATACCTAATGGACATGCTGAATGATTCCACTCTGACTGAGTCGATGATTTGCTTTGGAGTTTAATATCACTGCGGAAAAGAACAAGCTGATAATTTTATTACCAAAAAAAAGGTGGAATGAGCAACAAAGATCATTTATTAATGTTGCACGGAGACAGAAAATGCAAGAAAAATTTGACTGGTTAATAGCAGATGAAGTTAAAACCCCAGGTTAAGGATGGGAAACTGATCTGAGTCATGGGATGATGTTAAGAGGACTGTTGCGTTACGAAGAGGGAGCAAAGGCTGAATGTTCTTTTGATTTACAAAATGAGGATTGCAGAGGTGACACAAAAAGACCTCTGTTTGATTTTGAAAGCCAGAGGGCGCAGGCCGAGAAGAGAAAAACACGAGGATTGCACCACATCAGGTGTCGATGCAGGCTATCCAGGGCAACACGTCTCCCTGAGAAAGGAACAGTTGCTCCCTAAGGCCCTGATCCAACACATGTTTGCTTCCTGGCATAACACCTGCACACTGAGATTTAAACACTCAAATAAATGTCTGTAGATTTATAATCACGTCTGTCTGAGGAGGTATTGAGTTGCAGGCTCGCACTGTGCCACAAGGTAATAACGACATTATGCTCTCCATCGCTGGAAAACGCTGGTGAGATCCTGTGTACGTGAATGCTGCTTTGTGTCAGCATCCATTCACATGATTATCCAGCAGTCTGGATTTCATACTGTAAGTGAGAAAGATAACAGCCGAGAGCACCGCGCAACAACGGTGTGTGTGTGTGTGTGTTAGTGGAAAATACTTTTATGCTATGTTGTATGATCTGTCTCCGCAGTGTTTATACAGATTGTTTTGTCTGTTTATCTGTCCGTGCACACAGTCTCGCTATCTCTGAAGACAGGCCCTCCCGCCCCAATTATTTAACACAAACTACAGCAGCCATAATGCACTGAGGCCAACCTGGCTTTCTGTGGCGTGTCTGTGTTTGTGTGTCTGTTTCTGCCTCTGGAGAGTCTACGTGCCTCTTTAGAACCTAATTTAGCATGCTTCATTCTTTGTTTCCATGCCAACCCCACTAGGTCAACCAATAAAAGGCTGTGGTATTGGAAGGCGGGGTTTCAAACATGAGTGCGTTAATGAGCACATGAACAGCACATAAGACCAGTTATTAGATGCTATAAGGTTTAAAATTGAATTACACTAAGTTATTTAGTGGAATATAATATTTTATATCCTATATAATTATTTTTTTTAGCACCAAAAAAAATTTATGGCACAATTTCTGAACTTTAAGTGACATTCTGGAGGCATTAGGAGTATATCTGCAACAGCTGTGTTGTGTTCCAATATTATCTTCTCATATTTGTTCCTTTATGTATTTATTTACAGGTGCTAATTGCAATACACACGTTTCATTTGTTTGCCTTTTCTAAATCTCCTTTGTATTTGAAAACCATTCACTTTTTTGGTTTCTTATCAGTTTGGTTCACATGCTCATTACTGTGTAAGCTGCATGTACTGTACCGACACCACATTAAGAAATGATATACCTTTAACAATACGACTCATGATCAGAATTATTTATTTATCACACACGTTGAGTATAAAAATCTGTAGCATAGAGTTACTGTTTATAAACAAAATATAAAATATGAAGTGTATTCATAAAAATATATATATGTATATATAAATGCAGTAATTTCGGGGGTTTCAAGGCTTATGTTTCACACAGTGCACAACAGCACAAGGATGAGATGTTTACCTGGCAAACGCCTCTGGTCACAGAGAGGCATCAACCAAAAAAGCAACAACTTCACCTGCAACACTGTCAGCTCTGCAGCCTGATCTGCACTCTACAGTGAGCCCTGCAGTCTGTAACCCGACAGCTCGTCACCTGGTGTGACAGTGATCTTTGATTATCAAACACAGCCAGAGAATACGTCAAATATTAAACACATTAAAAAAATCTGTCATTTGTTTTAGCACGATAAACTAGGCTTTACAAGTAAACAGATTAGATTAAACATGTAGATTATTAAAGCTTTCAATAATTACTCATATATACTAAGTGACATTGGCCAGAGCAGATTACGTCATTCCAGTCTGAGGGCTCGCTGAGGACCTCTGCTGGTGAAAATGCAGATATGAAAGGTGTGAGGAACGTGGGTGATGCAGCACATACCGCATCACCGCTGCACGACATGGCTTCATGCACGTCAGGCCTGCAGCCACAGCTACAGACAGAGGAATCTAACTGCACTGTGGTCATTTTCTGCCTCTAGGAGTCAAATATTTGCCTAAAATTGCTAATAACTTAAAACAATAAAGTCACAAAGTGCGTACGATAATCCTTCACAAATTTAATTTGCATGTGTGAAGGAAAATGGTTTGTTCGTTTAAATGGAAGTGACCCACACGTAAGCATAAGTGAGCTTACGCTGGCAGCAGCATTCAAAGTGACTGACTTTAAAATGCAGTATGCTAATAATTGAATATTAGTGACGATATCGAAGTAATACATCAGAGTCGACATTCAGAGGAAAAAAATTTCAGTCTGACTAAAGGCGGAGTGCAACCAGACTGCAGGTGGAAGAAAGCAAGAGGTGGCCACAGTTTACAGGAAGCTGTTGGACAGCCATACATCTGTAGTGAAGCAGCATTAGGGTGTATCGCAGTTTAGAAGGGTAGCTGATTAAACAGGAAGAGCGTACTGCGGAAAGAAAAACTGGAAAATGCAACAGCTACAGTTTTAAGTGCTGAAAGAACAAACAGCCTGATTATGAAACTATCATGCCACTTCTTTTGATCTACTTATACAAGATTACATTACAAAGTCTGTATTTGAGCAGAAGTTATGCTCAAGCTCATTTGTAGACAACTTCAAGTGTAAACTGAAGCTTATATTTTTTTAGGTAACCTAGCAAACAATAATTGTAGCTCTGTTAGACCATGAAGTGCATGTGTCCTTCAGCACCGGTTACAATAACATCCATCCAGATACGCATGGCTTCAGGGGACGGAGCCACCATGTAGTACACCCGATCGTGGGTCTTCACACTGAAGGTCAGCGAGGGGTTGGGGCTCTTGTGTGTGGAAGTGAATGTCATTTTTGAGAAAAAAGTCAAATAATACAGAGTAAAGGAGAGGGGGAGGAGAAAAAAAGGACAAACAGGTGTCAATACTATACAATGCCACGTGGTAAAATGCCACGGATACACAAACACACGCATGTAAACGGACTCACTTTGTGTGCATTCTTTAAATGGTCATAGTACACCTCCTCTATGGCTTGGAAGTAAATGACGCCTTTCATCTTGGTCTCGTGTTTGTCTGCAGCCGGGAGTATAAACAGAACTGCTGTGTCAAAGTATCCTAGCGTAGCTCAAAGTTAGCAGCCATTGCTGCAGCAATTTTGTCGCACCAAAAAAGCTGCACATCAAAGTAGAGACCTAAAAGAAAGATACTCACCTGCATAGTAAGTGAGTGTCCTGCGATTGTGGTCAAAGACAAACCAGCGCTTCTTCCACGTCTTGATCTTTCCTCCCATTTTGACGAGGAACCCGCGACAGGTTTTGTCAGTGATGGCCAGATGGAAGCAGGCGTCTGGGTTGTGTCCGGCTGCTTCAATGTGGCCGTGAAGATCAAAGTCGTCTTTTCTTACTGGGTGGTATCTTGTCAACAGTCGGGACTGCGATAAAATTAGATGAAAGTAGACATTTTACTCGTCTTTTTCTGAAATGTAGTTACACGAAGCTAATGTGAACTACAGATTGGATTTCAACATCTTCTCGTGAGTTTTTGTGAATACCTGTGATCTCTGCTTCTCTCTGAGCTTCACCTCTCTCTCCACAAGCTTCTGTCTCCTGCTTGTTTCCTCCTGCAGCCGTTTCTCCAGTTCCTCTCTTCTTCTCCTCTCCTCCTCCAGAGCCTGCCTGCGTATCTCCATCTCCCGCTCCTGCACATGTAAGTAAATTACATTTATAATAAAATGCACACATCCGACATGCAAGGTTACAATTTAGGTTAGATTTGGCTCAGTACTCGATGCTCGAGGAGTCTCAGCTTCTCGGCCTGGGCCTCGCGGAGCAAACGCTCCATCTCTTCAATCTTTGCCATATTGGAGGTACTGGCACTGATAATAAATGGAAAATACAAGCTGTCAGTAACAAATAGAACTATCAAAGAAAGAAGAAACTTCCTTTGATGTGTAGCTCATCGTGTTTCCTGTCTCTAACCTTGAGATGTTGTCTGGGGAGCAGGCAGAGAAGCTGGTTTCCAGGCTGTCAGAGCTGTCCACGCTGATGGTGTCTGACGTCTGGCTGTTGTCCGGGTAAGAGAAAGAGTCCAGGAAGATGTTGGACTCAGAGACCAACCTGTTGCAAAAATCACTCTGTCTTTGCCTGTCTTCATTTACATGTGCGTGGCTGTTGCCTGCTGACAGAAGAAAATATTAAAATAACAAACTGAAAATACCATCAGGACACATGTTTGTTAACAGACAAAATCACATCCAAAGAGCTGCAATGCATTAACTACATGGACAAACAGGATTAGCTCTTATAAAAACAGAGTCATCAGAGTAAAAATAGGCAATTGCACAGGTTACCTGGTGGTAACCTAACAAATGTGGTCTGACTCAGACTGCCTGTAATCATTCTCAGACAGTTTGGCAAAGGCTTGCAAATAATTGCTGTCTAATTTGTAAATGCAGACAGATTGCCAGCACGTTGCAATCAATCTAAGTCAGTCTGTGCTGATGAGTGCAGCTTGTCTGTGACGTATCGTTGCAGTATTGCACTTGGCTCAACTCGTTGTATTCTGGTTATAGTCCTATATAAAAGCAAGCTTGCTGAGCTCCTGAGTCCTCCTATAGTTAACCTGTCCCCATCACTACTTGTAGATGAGTTTATGAATTTCTTTTTCAAATCTATGAGGTTCTGGCAGAATGTAGGTAGTAAGTGTAAGATATTTAAAATTTTTGATGTGCCATAACTGCCAACTCGACCCCATTCAAAGGCAAACTGAGAGCAGACAGACTGCATCTTATGATTATTTTATCACTGCCTTGATGCAAAAAATTGCAAAAATGCTGTAATTTCGGTTTTTTCATTAAAGAGATTTGCATTTGTTTCTTGATTTGAAACAAGCAAAGCTAAAAATCCCAATTTTCTTTCTTGTATAATGTAGCGTTTCTGTTCTGTGTTTTTTTTTAACATCAGTTTTAGACTAAATGTATCTTGCTTTGTGCAGTGACACAGATTTTCAAAGGACCACAGCATTTCCTGACCTCACAGTCATACAGCCCCAGGAGCAGAGCCGATCTACTACTACAACTACTACCAAGAGGTTGACACAGATGAGACGGGACAGTGTGACTCACTCTTGGGCAAGCGGCGAAGGTTCACCTCCCGAGGGGAGAAGCAGAAGCCTTGTGGGATGACACTGCCACAGCTTGAGCTTTGGGACAAAGGAAGGTGAGGCTGAGAGGGGAAACAAGAGCACACGTGCTGTTTAGGACTGCATTGTATAGCTGTATATCTCAGATTTCTGTAAAGTTATTTATTTCATATTCTGTATAGTTTTTCATATTTATATCCTGTTCATATCCTGTACATAGCTTGTACTCACTACAGCCTGTACATACCTATAGTTAAAGAATATTCACAACATACTTCATACCGTGTACATTATAACATACCATAATAGACCCATTTCTGTAATATACTTACATATCTATATTATTGCTAATATATATTGTAATATATCTATATCACTAAAGCACTTCTGGATGGATGCAAACTGCATTTCGTTGCCCTGTACCTGTGCAAGTGCAATGACAATAAAGTTGAATTCGATTCTATTCATTCTTCAACATTTACAGAAATGCAAACTTCTCTCATGTATACTTCATGAGCTGGATGGATGTTGCAACCCAGACTGAAACTGAGAATTCCTGTTTGGGTGGATCATTCTCAAGGGATAAACAAATAACTAGGGCAAAGCATCTGCAGGCCAGAATCTCCATGAGCACAATCATTTTGAAAGTACCACTGCAAATGTTTTAAAAAGTCGCAGACTGAGGGAGCAAGCATTAACTTCCAGTTTGAGCCAACCTTTTCCGTCTGCTCAGATTTTCTGAAAAAACCTAAAGACCTTTGGAGGAAGCGTGCGTCCGAGGGATCTGCCATAAGTGGTGAGCAGCTGCTGGCTCCTTTTATGAGGTTGACTGTCATTTGGATGTGATGAATTTTCCTTGCTGCTTCTTCGTCTTTCCTTCAGAGTGTGCAAGTGCTGCACAGAAATCAGAGCAATAAAAAGGAGAAATAGGATTTTTAATATTAAAAACCCAAAGCTGCACTGTTTGTGCTACTGACTCCTACCTCTTTGAAGGCCACAGGATTGTTAGCGAAGGTCTGCCCCTCAGACAGCTCTGCATACTTTCCTTCCAAAGACACCAATTTCTCTCTCTCCTGCAGACATGAGGCACTCTTTAAGTAAATAAAACCGAAGGCTGTGTTTACAATTGTAACATTCAGAGAATTTTCAAACCTTCTGAAGCATGATGAGCAAATTGTTCTTCTCTCTCTGGAAATTCTCCCGTTCCTGCTGAGCCTGTAAAGTAATCTGAGATGACTGTTTCTTGAGCGTCATGAGTCTTTCCTGTGAGAAATAAGGAGCGCAGCATTAGTACACATTACATATGTCAGCGTTCACAAAGCGCGAGGCAGAAGAACGCGGTAAAAATAAAAAGCAATGCAGAGATATTGAGAAAGTAAGGCAGAAAATTCTAATAAAGGCAGTTCAGTTTCTGGGATATACTACACCCTCTTTATAAGCAAATATCTTTACCCAGTTCCTGTGTCCTTTCTGGGTTTTGTTACTCAATAAAAAAAAAAGTGTTCAGTTGGCCTTCAGCATTGCATGCTTACCATTGATGGTTTCCTGCAATTAGTTCATGCTTTGTGCTGCAAATCTCATAATTTTGAAGCTTTATTTTCATGCAAAACCTGCAGTAAGATTAATGACAACAGACCACAGTGTAGTAAATTCAACAAAAATACAGAAAAAAAAGCAAATTTACAATCATCACTAGCAGTTATTAAAATTACTGAAGAAAAATACAGGTTAGGGTGTTACGATGTCGGGTGAGTTATATATGCACCACATGCGGCATGCACACTTCTATAACTTCACATGTTGTACCTTGCGGGTGACAGTAAGGCGCTGACAGTCTGCGATCTCTCGCAGCAGCTCTTGGCCCTGATTCTCTTTTTCCTCGTCCTGCTTAATTTCTCTCTCCAGCTTCTGAAACTCCAAGTCCTCCAAACTTTTTGTCTGCTCCTCAGTCTCCTGAGGAGCAACCAGGAAACATAAAAATTCAAACCATGTGAAAGAGTAAAACTTTGGGTAAACTGCCTTAACAGAAATCTATGAATATACAAAGTATAGTTGTTGTTTTTTAGCTCAGTTTACTGAAATCCTAATTAGTGGAATACTAGAAAAATACTTCTCAGATTTCATAACAAACCTAACCCTAGGAAATAATTCACTGCATTTCTTGTCATTTTTACCTGTGACTTCTCAGTGTGGTTCATTTTCTCAACATTGTGAATTTTTCCCTTGAGCTGCTCCAGAAGCTCCTTATCCCTCTGCAGCTGGGCCATCTCCGACTCTTGTTCTCCTTCCAGCAGAGCACACTCCACCTCCATCTGCAAGAAGTAGCAACGCAAGGGTGACAATATCCCTTTGGACTCATTTTTGGACTAGTGCACTGAATAGGACATTCGCAGGATTTCAGCATGATGCTCGCTTCATCAGTTTTTAATCTGTGGAGCCTGAGTTAACTTACAACTTTATTATTTCTAATCAGCAATGATTACTCTTCCATTGATACTTTCCAATGAGCTTTTCTTAATAACACCTAGTTTTAAATGTAGAAAAGCCCACAGCAGGGTGTTTTCCATCTCTATCTGTGACCCTGACCATCCAGCAGTTATAAAGTCACCAGTTTTTAATTCTCACTGAGTCTCACAAACACCTTACACTTTTATTTAAGATTCATTTACCTGCTTGTATAGAATTAAAACATGTGTCCTTCCAACTAAAAGTACCCTGCAGTCGACCTCCATGGATATATCCCATATTGTCATGCTGCTCCATCAACACTCCAGCAATTAAATAGAGTAAGGAGTATTATATGTGCACATGTCTTCGTCTGAAAGGTTCTTTCATCTCCAGAAAAGCGGATTAGCTAAATATTTTAAAATGAAGAACAAACTATTCGTGTTTGTGCTGCACTGTGCCGTCTACCTCTCGAAGAGACTCCTCCATCTGGTTGTCCAGGTCTTTGATCTTCTGCTCGAGCTCTTCTATGTTATTCAAAACTTGGATTCTTTCTTCCTCTATGTGCGTTACTTCCTGTTTCAGCTGCACGCTCTCCAAAGCCTGTAACGACATCAGGAACGCAGATAAATGCTCGGCTCTCCAGGAGGCTGCGCATTGTGTAAGTACAAATATACAAACAAAGGTCCCCGATCACATGGAAAAAGAGACTTTATGCAATTACACAAAAAACAACAGCTCTCTTTTTGCTGTGTAAATTATGCTGATATACTTTGCCTCCGTGCAGAATCAGGTTTTATTGAATTAGACGACAGCAGCTGCTGTTTTAACTCATCCAAGCTGGATCAGTGACAGCAGGGATTCTTTTCCGCTGGCCGTAATGGAAATCTCTATCAGTGCACTTCACCACCACTCATGCTAAAGCACTCCCACATACTGCACCATCGACCACCACCCTGCAAACACTCATTCACAGTCATATGTAGGTGTATTCGAGACATCCTGTAATATCAGTAATATCAGGTATTCTTCCCTTAAGGACCTATGTTGATTTTTTTCTCTGGACAGATGCTCATGTGAACAACAGCTCTAGTTTTCCAGATGGGTTGTGAGTGCTCTCTTTTCACTGCACACAAAGCTCTGAGGAATGCAGGAGATGGCAGAGAGGGTATTTGGAGTCTGTAAACCTCTGTCACGACTGACACATAGCAGAAAATAATAGCATCAACTTGGAAACCTAATTTTATAACCGTGTGTTTACATGACAGCTGGATCTGCTACATTACCTGGGTTAATTATAATTACATTTTTTTGGAACATCTTCCATCCATTTATCCTCAGCAGAAAGTTCAAAACATCTGGAAAAACGCATGGCTCTGCCACACATATACACTAGCATTCTTCCAATCACACAACTGCACAGAGCTGCGCACACACACTCACACACACACATATGCGCATGCTAATGCTCTGTGGGATAAAGTCATTTCCTGTCTCTCCCCCCCAACAATTTGAATGACTGAAACAAAACTAGGACTTCTTCATTAAAACCAGACACAACCCTAGGTTGTTGCTGCTCGAGAGTGGAAAAGAAACTGGCCTAGTGGTCTGGCTGGGAGCCTAAACTCCAGTATTTGATATATTTGATTTCTTTTATATTTGTACCTTAAACATGTTCATCTGGTTATTAGTTTGCAACACATTTATAAAATAGTAGTGAGAGAAAACATCAAAGCTGTGAGAAGATTGTGCGTAACTGTGATTTCTCTGTTTATGTCTGAACAACCCACATAAACATAAACTGAAACTATCAGCACACACTTACAGTAGTTATAAAAGAATGCCTAATAGTTGTTATAATTATCCTTCCTTAAAGTTTGGGGGACTGCACACATCATTTTTTAAAGCTCTGACACAATTTTGTCATGCAGTACTGTGCATGTTGGTCTTGATCCACTTACTTATTTCTATATACGTTGCTAGTAAAATGGGAAATAGGTGCAGAAATGTCTGCAAACATATGGCATATAGAAATATAGTACAGACATAAGGCAAAAACAGAGGAAAGGTTCTCCACGCTTCTTGAAGGACATTCAAAGCTCAGAGTTCAGTGTTCAAAGTTGAGAAACCCTGGAGAACTATTCAAAACAGCTCGAGACAACTTTAAATATTACAAGCGAGTCTGGCTCTGTGGAAGCAAAACATAAAGAAATGGGTGGCAGCTCAAAACTTTGACCCACCCCTCATTTCTTTATGTACTCTTTCAACAGAGTTCAAATACAAATATTTGGTATCTCTAGAAAACTTTAAAACATGGTTTTAACTGAAGTTTGGAGGAAATGTGGGATGGGAAAACTTGGATTGAAAAAAAAGCACTCTGATATATAAACGGACAAAGATAAACAAGCAAACAGGAGTCAGATTAACTGCATTCCACAGAAGTGTGTGTTCGCTCCTCAGTCACTGTGAAAGTCATCCAGGAAGTAACCAGGGTAAAGATAAATAGCTTTAGGATCCTTGTCCAAATGTATCACTCATTATTACATCAACAACCTGCAAGAACTTGTTAGTTTATTCTGTTAGTATAAAGTAATACAAAAACCTTCAGTAAGCTATAGGCTTAGCAACAAAGTTAGCAAAGAAGTAGCGTTAGCAAGTAACAGATGAACATGTAGTTTAATATAAATATTCACATATTTAGGAGATGAGATGCCAAAAAAGATGCACTTTTAAACTTTTAAAAATTCAAGAGACCAGAAAAATACCCTAAATTTAGCTCCCTCTATGCTTGATAGATAACTGTTTGCTAACTTGTTAGCTAAAAGCCTTAACTCCAAAGGCTAGTTGTGGAGTAACACCAGGAAGCACGGTTAAAAGTAATGGAGATTCAAAGAAAAAAACTTACCAAATTTACCAAATTACAGCAGTAAATTTGCAAGAAACATCTCCCTGACATTCAAGTCCTAGATTTATGAGAAAAATAAATTACCTTACTGCCAAGGTGGGAAATTAATTTTCCCAAACTGGGATTGCTGTGGGGGGCTACATCAATAAACTTATAAAGAGATCAAATTAATACTTAGCAGAACTGAGTCCAGCTTATTGGTGCGGCAGCCACAAGACTCTCAGTTTCTCATGAGGCCCGATGGGAAAATACAAGTTCCCAGCCCTGCTTCACAACCTCATTAATATTTACCACTGGGAAACAGTGAAATCTGCTTACACTTAGTGTTTAAGTGTAGCAGAAGTAGACAAAAGCTATAACTACACCTGAATCAATATAGTTTTTCAGAATATTCATGCAGCGTCTCATTAAAGTGTGGATATGATGCTGACTGCAAATTAGACTTTGGATGTTCATCCACTGTAGGCAATGTGACATTAACTTTATATCATTGTGGGGTAACCCCCACAGTTTGTATGACTTCATACAACCAAAAAACAAAGGAAGTCTTTTCTTATTTATGTAAATTTCTCCTTAGAAAATTCCAGTAGTTTTTCTCTCAGACTCTTCCGACCTCCTGACTACTAGAAGGACAAAACTGTACCACTGAACTCCATCATACATGTTACAAACTACAAGATACTTCAAGAATAATAATGAAAACTGCACAACAACAAGTAGATTTATTCTTTCTGAATACTTCAGTTGATACCATCATTTTCTAGATTATATTATTTCTTTTTCCTAAACTTGTGCTTATAAAAGAGAACGGATTCTTTGGACTTACTTTGGCTCTGTGATGCATAGAAGGCGAGGGTGCACTGCTGTTGAGACTGATAGCAGGTGAGTGGGATCTGGCCTCTCTATAGCCGCTCTGCTGACGCTGGCTGGCCTGCTGCTCCTCAGAGAGTTGGAACTCTCTGGCTTTGGCTCCAAAGCAGCTCTCTTGAGCTGTGCTGCTCGGAGAGTCGGAGAACACTGAGTCATCGTCCGACACCTGCAGCTTCTCCAGCTCCTTATTGATCTTCTGCAGGTCAGAAACAGCTGATCCCGCTGGCTCTCTCGCTACCTGTCCCAACTCAGTGCACAGGTTTAAGATGGTCTCTAGACGCTGGCATTCCTGCAGATAATTGATTGATATTTGGTTAAAATTATTCTAGGAAAATATTGAACTGATTACATTTTCAGACAGGTGTATGAATAAATTGTTAAAGTGAAATAAAAGTGCACAAATTTGGGTAAAAAGAACTCACTAATCTCTGCACTTTCTGCTCCCTGAGTCGCTCATCTCTCTGATGCTGGTGGTAGTCTTTGAGCTCCTCTTTGCCATTCAGAGAGGTGATGCTGCCCACCCGTTGTCCCGGACTCAAACCACTCTTCCCAAAGGACAACCTCCTCTCTCCGATGCCCAGATCTAACCCCGTCCCATCAATCTCTACTCCCATAGAGCTCAGAGAGGCCAGGCTAGCCCTCCTGGGTGTGCTGGGCATGCTGGCTGGTACTGTCACATCTGGAGGCTGCTCCAGAGAGGAGAGACTGCGCCGGTTTCCTGCAGAGACCACTCGGTGGGAACCTACTGAGTGGCGTAACGGCAGTGACAGCGCAGGTGGATCTGCTGCATTGTGAAGCCGTGGCAGAGAACGGCTGTGCATACCCAGGCTGTTGAGGGAGCCCGTGGAGTACTTCCTCTGACGGGAGTCTCCTGAAGCTTTGCCCTGTGAGTAGAGCCTGCGGGTCATTCTGGGGCTGGATGGCATACTGGCTGCTCCGCTTTTGACCCTGGGAGAACGTGGTATGGACTCCCCATAAGGGGAGACCATAGAGCTTCCATTTGAGAGAAGCAAGCTGTCTTGGGATTGGTGGCGAGCCTGGGAGTGACGGAGCAAGCCATTAGAGCTTAGCTGGCGATCACCTTGGCGAGGTGACGGCGGCACGCTGTTGCTGGTCATGTAAGAGATGTTTCTAGCGGCAGAAGGGGGACGCTCTGTGTTACCGAGGATGGACAGCGGCCTGGTGGGCTGGGTTCCTACAGATGTACTCAAGTACTTGCGGCTGCACTCTGCTGCCCTCAGACTAGCCTCCAGAGCGCTCTTCCTGCGCTGCAGCGTCTCCATGAGTTCCTGTAGCTCGGCTTTCGAGCGGGAGCCCCTCAGCATCGTGCCAGCCACTGAGCCGCCACTACTGTGCTCAATCTTCACACAGTCTGCAAAAAAGTGAAAATTGAGAGACCATGAAAGCCAGTCTATTTTTGGCCTACATAAAGCAGTCAAGTTAGTTTAAGTACTTCAATACAATAAACAGCAGCTCAGCTTAAAAGAAGGGCTATCACATATGTGCTGAGTAAGTGGGGGGTAGAGAAACCAGCAAAGAATGTACTCTCATACAGTTCTGAGCCCAATACAAACACTGGCTCAATCAGTGGTTAAGTTTCTTCTAAAAATGGAAGAATGCTGGTGGACCAAGACCAGCCAGAATACATCATAGTCTCGGCAGCAAGAGGACACCCAAAATATCTGTGCCAGGGGGGTGGTTCTTGAGTCATGGGTGACCGGACGTTGAATATACAAAATATTAGGGAGTTTGTTTGAGATGAAAGAATGTTCACAACTCCTGCAAAATGAAATAAATAGTGAAGTGCACTGCTTCTCGTGTGAGCTCTCCCTGCATGAATAGCTGCAGTATGACTGCGCTCTTTAGACTCAAATAAAATTCTCAGCATTTTTTCCAGCAGATCAGTGTCTAAATTATAGTCCAGACGTCTGCTCCACAATGCACATTTACTCAGATATCATTTTAAGTGAAACCCAGAAGCTTTGAGGATGGACTGGAAAGACACGGAGCTGCTCCAGGAAAGCTAACCAAATACTCATAGTCCACTTTATTGTGATTCAGCCGACTCTGTTCTCTCCGTAAAGGTGGAAACATATTCCATTCAAATGGCATGTAATAAATATTAAATGTAATTGTATGATGTCATTTCCTGTTAGTGTCGCTTCTGAATAATGTAATTGTAGTAATCAGTAATATGATACAGTTGTTGTTTTACCTGAGCTGTAGCCCAGTGTGGCGACAGCACTCCTTTGGGGAAGCATGCTCTTCATCACATTGATTTAGCTTTGTCCTGTGCATGAAAGGAGAGGCAATCAATATACATCAATGAAAAACCTAAAAAAATAAAAAACAGGAATTTACTATAAACCAGATTTTTCCTTGTGTTAGATACTTTGCATATTTTTCTATGGCTTTTACTGCTGTTTATTTATCTAAATTGTTTTTTGAGTAAGTTTCCAGTTTTGGAGATGTTGGCTATAGAAATGTCTTTTGGTGTTCACATAAGAAATCAGGACCCAGCTACTCAAAAAGAGGTGTCCATCATCCATCGGTCAGTCCTCCTAGAAAATTGGTCAAACTTTAATGATGATTTATTTGTCCTGATATGAGGGTTTGGGTAACCAATGACAACAAAACTTACCACTTTCTTTATGGACTTCTTAAATTACTTAACCTGTGACTTTCCACTGAGCATGAACCGGATGAGCTACTAAATCATGGAGACTTTCTTTTTTTTTTCCTTTCTGCCACCCACATCTATCCATTAAAAGGAAAGCTTGGCTGAATGGCTAATGTGCAACACGACACCTTATCACTCTCAACGTGCTTTCTTCTGCTGAGTAATATGGACGGTGGCTGTATTTTGGTAAAAGAGAAACTAGTTCCTGTTTGCAAAATGTGTGTGAATTTTTTATTTATTTAATTTTTTTCCCCCCTTGGCCTGATAGCAACTGATAACTCCAAAATTAACCAGCTAAAGCAATAACTGAGCTCCACAGGTTGAATTTTTTTCCTTTTTTTAGGTTTGGGGGGCTTTTTTTTTTATTTTTTCCCTTAAAAAATACAAGTTCCACAGAATAAGTCACCACTCTGCTAACTTATCCTTCAAAATGCCAGAAAATAAGGACGTATAAAAACTTTCCTAAAGACTTGAGTATTAAAACAGGTCTAGAGGAAAGTTTTTATGTCTGGCCCTCTGTCACCAATAAAAACCAAATCTGAAAAGCAGTGCCCTGCATCTTAATCAGTGTTTCAGCCACAGACTCATGACCAGTCATTCACACACAGTTTGAAGTCCAGACTCACTTCATGCTGAATGCACAAAATCAAAAAAAAAAAAAAGAAGTAAAAAATTTGATGGATGGTTTTGGCATGTCTTTGAAAAAACATTTAATTGGCTAACTAATGAGTAGATTGGATAATTATATAAACATAATCACACAGCCCTCAATCTCATGCTTTTCCAGTGGGGTGGAGTGGGGGATAAAGATGTGCGCTCTACTCTGAGGAAAAGAAAAAGAAACGCAAAAATAAAATATGTTAAATAAAAGAAAGAAATCCATCTTCAAATCCCCTCGCTCCAGGTCATAACTCACAAAGATCACAGAAAAGTAAGGATGTTATTGGTTCTGGTGATACTATCGAGGGATTTTAAAGAGTCAGACGTTTCCTGTATCCACACGCACAGACACAGAGTGAGACAGAGATGGCTGATCCAAGATTTTCTGCTCCTGCTGTCTGGAGGAAGAGGGAGAGTGAGCCTACAGGAAACAGGGTATCCTTTTACACAGTGACACAATCAATCAGTATGAGTTCATTCTCCAGACCTAAAAGAAAAACTGTCTCGTGTCAAGAGCATGAGTTTTTACTGCATTACTCGGGCTGCAGGCCAGCAGGGAGGTGCAGATCATAAACACACAAGGAGATGTAAACAGTTTGAGGAATGACCACTGATAAGCTGGCTTTCATCTAATGTGTGGCAACAAGGAAAGGAATACTTTCACACTGCTTTTTAAGGCCCTAACGTGCTGAAATTGCCGTCGCCTTATGCCTCAGTCATTTTTATTCCCATGCAAGGGAAAAAAGTGAAGGGAAATCCCATGCAGTTAACAATTAGTTTAATTTTCATCTAATTAGAGGGTCTACAAAGAGCCAGAATATAACGTAGAATACGTGTTTTAACATATAGGAAATCTTCAAAGTTTTCTGACCAGCAAACCAAAGCATTAACTTTGAGGTTAAGGTAATATAAAAAGAAGATTTGATTGTATTTTTTATTTTTTGCTATGATAAAAAAAAAAATCATTAAAATGTCCTGATTTCACAGCGCACTGTACCTACAGGGATTGTGGTGAGTAGTCTGGAAACTTGCTGATAACCACTGCTGTTTTTGTCATCTACTTTCTTTGAATAGCGGCAGCATTTTCTGGCAACGTTAAGTTAATAAAGATAAACTTTTTTTTAGCCTACAAGAGTTATTTTTCTTTACACGTTTATTTATTCCAAGCATGTAAAAGCACAGACGCAGACAGATGTACAACAAACAGAAACAACGCGCAACCTTAAGTCTGACACAGCCGCCTGACTTTCCAGGAGCATCACTCTTTGTACCGACCAGCCAGTTTGGCATCTGCTGAAGCGAAATTTGAAGGAAAAGAAAAGAAAAGCGACTGACCTTTGCTTTCTGTCCCCGTTACATACTTATAGGATCTTTTAGTGATGAAGCTGAAGTCCACTCAATCCCCCTCTCTCACTCTAAAACAGCACACTAAAGTCTTTCCATGACAAAGGACCAGGCTGGAGACCCTCTCCCCTCCCACCCTCAACTCTCCGCTGAGATCCTCCTCCACAGGAGAGAGGGAGAGGTGGGGGGGGGGAGTGTGTGTTTACTTTCGAGCATCAGACGCGGTTGCTGCCCCTCTCTGGTTAGATAGAGAATTGCTGGTGAGCAAGGAGGGATGACAGAAGTGACTCTAGCTGTTTCTGACCTCTGACCTCACAGTGATTATTAATATCATGTTTTCATTATTCCATCGTGGACTCTGAGTGAATTACTGCAAGGCTGCGTTTGTCACGTGGTGGTGCTGATTCTCCACTTTCAAAGTAAAACTAATTAAATGTCCTGCCAGTGGTCTCTGGCCTTCTGCTTACAGAAAATTAGACATTAGGTTTTCAGACAGAGGAGGTTTTTCATAGTGTGCGTTTTCCAAAAAAGAAAAGAGTTACAAAGAAAAAAAATGTTGACTCCTAGATTGTTGTTTCAGCAGTATGTGGAGGCGGGAGGAGGCCCCATTGCTATGCTTGAAACGGGGCCAACCTCACTCCCCCTCCCCAACTAACTGTGCAGGCAAAGGGTGAAAAACCCATTCTGCAACACAGAGCATACCTACTGATTTAATTGCTGTTTGTATAATCTCATTCCTGGTGGTGGGAAACACTTCCATACATTTTATCTTGGTATTCAATGAGAAAATGTGGGCTACAGAGTGAAGCAGCAGTTTCAGGGACCCGAATGAATGAAATGGTCGTTGTTTTTTTTTCAAAAAGAAATCCCCTAAAACTCACTGAAAACCATCCCGAACCATCATGCATAAAAACTCCGGTTACATCATAGGGAGGGGGTTGTGAGTGTAGCGCAGCCGGGACGAGATGATTACTTCCAGATACTGTGGCGGGGTCTTTGTCTTAAAAGTGCACACGCACACTCGCAAGTCTGTCTGCCTCTTTCTCTCTCCCTCTCTCGTGCATTCTTTAAAGTTTCAGGAAAGTGCAATGACACATGTAAATCTTTAAAGGGGCCTCATTAAAACAACAAAAAAAAAACTTTCAAGTTTATTACTAACAAAGAAATGTTATTGTCATAGAGCAGTGGAATGACAAGGCACTTCCTGTCCAAAAGAAAGGTATGATTTAAAGTAACCACACAAAGATTTCCATCAGGCTCTGTGTGTATAGGTGTGTGTGTGTAAGCATTTTTTTTTTTTTACTATAGACTGAACTCATGCATGAAGGCATTCTGTGGAGTCTAAGCTGTGGAAAAAGTAGGGAAGAAGTTGGTGTCAGATTGTGGGAGTGGGTGTATGATCATCTCTGGTAATTTTTGGGAGGTCTGAGTCATAACATGAAAAAGTCTCACATGTTTCGGCGAATAAGAAGCAGCGATTTGATTCACTTAAGCTTGGTTTCTTAGGAAATATCCCTCAGCCCTATTGATCTTTTATTTTGTTCCAATTTCACAAATATATAAAGAAAACAACAACAAATGTTTATAGAAAAGTTCATTCTAGTTGCCTATTCTCTACAAACCCCATATCTTGGATATCTAATGCTGTAGTAAATAAATAAATCTGTCATTTGGCCTGCTGGCAAACCCCCAGCCTGCCATCTCAACCATCACACACTTTGACATGCTAAAACTGCACAATGTAGATTTACTCAGAGGAGTTTGTGTAACCGCTAATGAAAAAATGAAACCCTCCCACAACCACTCTGTGGAGTGACCCGAGTAAAGTTAATCTGAGCAGCAGGATGTGGGCCCTAAAGTGACCCACATCACAGCTGTTTGGGTTGCTTATCTAGATGGAAAATGTCCATTTAATTCGAAAATTGGTTTAAGGTCCGATTGAAACCGCAAAACAAGACGCCCGTCTTTGTTGTGCCACCAAGCTTATAATTAAGTGGCTGTGGTGTAATGAAGGCGGGTTGTCCAGACGTCTTTAGGCAGTGTGACATTTGTACAATGCAAACAATTAAATCATGTCCATGTTTATATTGCAATACGACCATAACACAAATCAAGCTCAAGTCCACCGTCTGCACAGACACAGAATTCTGTTGGTCTCGTAAATAACCAGTATATTTAATACTTGTATACAACCCTGAGTCCCAACTTCAGGATGATTTTCAAAACTCACAAAACTGTATTTGAGTCCCAATCAAACATAGAAAACATTAAATGTTTAAACTTAGGAAATGCACCATTTTAAGAAACAATGTTATTTTGAAAAGCATCCACTCTTCTTTTATCAACAGCGTTGGGTCTTCTATGTTGTATTTTAGTCAATGCTAAATGTTTCCAGCCGGTGAAAGATTTTGACTGCTTGTATGCCAGTTCAGCATCAGAAATCATCTGGACGGGAGCATATTTTCTAAAATCTGTACATACCTTTCGGCATTGATGATGGCTTTCCAGCAGCTGCCAGTTTCACAGGCATTAATCTGCCTCCATAGGTCACAGATGCAGGAACTGAATACTGATCGCAAGACAGATTGTCTCTCGTCTTAGCCCAGAGAACACTGCGTCCATGTTTGCAAGTGAATTTAAATTTTCGTTTTCAGCTGACCACCGACCAGCTCTCCACCTTAGTCTATTTTAGTTGAGCTTTGACCGAGTTCACATATTTGCATGCTAGAGCTTTTTCCTGCATTTGTGGATGGCATGGTAAACTGTGTTTACACAGCATCCCAACTTTTTTGGACATGGAGCTTGTATGTTTTGGTGATGATATGTAGAATAAATCAAAAGCCAGACAAAGGTGAGCCCAGTATAGGCACTTTGTTTTATTTTAAAGCCAAAGGGGGAAAAAGCACAAACTCAAAGTTCAATCATAGTTTAGACAGCATGATTCAGGTACTATATGAAGATGATAATATGACCAGACACATGCTGAATTTTACCAGTTTGATCTGGATCACCTTTCTGTGTGTGTCTGTGTGTGTGTGTGTGTGTGTGTGTGTGTTGCTCCACCACTTGATGCTCATTGATTTCCAAACACTAACATGGATCACAGTTGGTAAATGCACTTGATTTTTATGGTATAGAAAGTACAGGCTTAGTATTTTCAAATCCATCCCTCTGCAGGTTACTGGGTTGTAGCCCATCACTCCTGTCCAAAGGTGTTTCTTCTTCATCTTCTTCTTCTTTAGTGTCTGGCAGTGAAGTCACACTAGAGTCTTCATCTACATTTGGCACACTCCTTAAAAGTTCATCCTGCGCATCCGATTGCGCTGGTTCTCTGTTACGATCAGTGCCATCGTGTCGGATTATGCACGAAGCAGCAGTGTTCAGACCTTTGTGATGTCCAGCTTCAACAGGGTCTGTTCCATTACACCTATGTGAGTCTGTTCTGCTCTCCATTGCTGTATCAGGAACGGGAAATAATGCATCAGACACGCTTGACCGCTACCAATTTCTAATATTAGTTGATAAGCTATATCAAACCTTTTTTGTGTTGTTTTGTGTAATATTGTGTAGAATTTAACCAACAGACATAAAGATCAGAGATCAGCGATCAAAGAGCAGTTTTTGAATACTTTTCTTTTCTCCCTGGAAGTCGTAATTCTACCACCATCTTTTCTCTTTATCTTCATTTGTTCGTTTTGTATCACTCTCATACGGTCAGTGGAATCATTCACATAAAAACTGAGATGAAAATCCAGTGAAGTTTTACTTGTAAACAGCTTTTACCGATAAAAAGCATTTAGCTTTTTTTTTCCTAATGTAAACAAACAACCATGAGAAATAAAAATAATTAACAGGCTTAACAGAATTATGGCAGTGTTGCACATACGAATTTTAATAATTGCATAACTCACGTACCTTTTTGCCTTACACACTGAGGGAGAGCTACAATAACAGTGATCAGGACAAAAGCTGCAGAAGCCACTGTGCACCACCAGGACCTCTGCACACTGTGTTCATCCAAACCTGCAATGCACATTTCTTTTAGAGAACTTTTTTTTTTCTTTAATTGAGAAATAATATAAAAGAAAACTCACTTATTGATGCTACAGTGATGTTTACTCTGGTCTGAATGATGTGTCTGCTCTGCAGGCCTGAGAAGCTGCAGGTGTAAGTCCCAGAGTGTTCTTCACTTTGTGGTTTGAAAAGCACAAGAGATCCATCCCCAAGAAGAAGTAGGTCCTGGTCCAGCTCTGCTTCGCCTTCCCACAGGTTAAAGCTGTGTCTGGTTCTGTGGTCATATCTCAAGATAACTATGGGGTCGTTGGATGAGTCAAAGGTCCAGGTGAGGGAAAAATTCTGGAGACTGTGAGGAGCGATGCATGGGATGGACAGAGCGTAACCCTCTTCCTGTGTTATATCCTCTGAAAAATAGTTTGCACACATTTTTTTTTAGCACATTTAAGTCATAAATAATCCTGTTCATGAAATCTGTATTAGTATGGAACCAAACTGCACCTTGGTTTTTCCGAGAGGCAGTCCAAATCTGGGTTTTGTCAGCTGATATGACTGAGCAAAAGTAAGTGTAATTGGAGACATTACCCAGAATCCTTAGCATGCTTTCCACAGTAAACAGACCCTTGTGGTCTGTGGTTTTGGTTGTGGAATTTTCGAGAGCTTCTTGTGCAGACGGGGGATCTGTGGCCCACGCTACCTGAGGGATGGGGTAGATATTCTGAGAGGAGCAAGTGACCATCTCGTCGGTTATCTCCACGATCACAGACTGGATCAGTGCTGGAAGGAAAGCAGAAAAGATAAAAGTGTGGCTTTAATGGCAGCCTGATTCAGTTTGTGCAACTAGAAAGTTCCATTTTACAGTTCAGTATTGTCAACAGTAAAACTAGTGTTTTTCATGTTCACACTTAGTAATGTGCACTTTCTCCGCACCGGTGCTGGCATTTAGGAGAGATTCTCTTTCAAGCAAATCTTGAAAGTGGTGCTTTTCTGCTGCATTTCAATTCTGTGGTTCACTATTTCTCCTGTGGGCAGTCTATACTTGGTATACTTTGTATAAAGTCAATTTTATGTACAGCCTATGGAGCAGCTAGAATATGCTGTATTTAATGAACATGTTGGTACTCAAGAGA